TACTGCGCAGGGTCAAGTGCAGCAACTTATGTAAGGTACAGACATGATCTGTGGAGGCACGGGGAGGCGAGACGAGGCGAGGCGGATGATCATTCATGACTGCTGCGTGTTGTTGTTTGTTTTGCTTGTTGCTTTAGTGTGGTGTGCTGCCATTACCAACTACTTATTTTGCATAGGTAATAGGTGTTCGTGCCTAGGCACTCGATGATGTAAAATTGTGAGCGCTCGTGTCGAGAATGGTCCAGAGACCACACAATAAGTGGAAGGTTTCGCATCGGCTGGCCTAGCGCATTGACTTTCGGACAGAATTTTCGGTCGAGGCGTGACAGAGAGAATGGAAAGTCGGATCAATCACGTCCTTGGGCAATGAACGAATTGGACGAGGAATGCCTCTGTGCTCGCCTCTGTGCTTGGGGGATTTCGTAGGGGCGAGAGTCTGGCGATTCATGTTTGACTGCGCATGTGCATGTTCGTCCTATATATCAGTAGAGACGTCAGCCCTCGCAAGTACTCCGTTTAGGCAGTCGAATTGCCTTTCTAGAGGAGACAGATGTAAGGTTCTCGCTGACTGTTGTCAACTGAGGTGTCTGACTGACGGGAAGCTGTGTGTCTGCATAAGGTATGTTGGTGTGTCAAAGTGTATGAGAGAGTGTGTGTGTGGTGATTATTCGCTCTGGCCGTGCCTCTTTGGAAGACGGAGAGAATTGTGTGTACGCAGTATTGTGTGTGTCGTGTGTGTACGTATCTTCTTCACAAGGAACACCCCCCCTTTCCTAAAGAGACCCACTTAAACAGTACAAGTGGTACCCACTCTTCATCTCTGCCCCTTGCCCCTGTACTAGTGCAAAGAGGGAGATGGATTGCTCCAAAGTGGTTCCCGATGGGCGGAGCTAGGCCAGAAACCAAGACCTTCAAATCTCGCCAGACCGGTGGAAGCAGGGTTATTTGCAGAAACTTGATGCCATGGCGGCCGGCTTTTGTGTCCATTGCGATTCCATCATCACTCTAATCAGATTATAAGCCATTCAATATTTGCTACGGCCATTTGCTCCATCCTGATGCGTCAAGGAAGGAAAGAAAAGTCTTGATAGCAGATCCCCCCCATGCAGAGGCTCCAGAGATTTTTCTACCTTGGTACCTTGTGAAAGGAAGGAGGCTCAGGCTTCGGGACCGGCAGATAAACTCTGGCGGAAAAAGGGGGCCAGGAGGCGTGTCTGTAAATGGCGAGAAAAAACACGGACTTTTGTTGCTCAAAATACTGGAGGAAATCCTCCCAGAATTCCTGCCAAAGACGCAGCCCACTGACTGCTGCAGCCACGACAGATTGAACAGACAGACAAATGATCAGATAGACGTATAACACAGACTCTGCCAATGCCAGTGTGTCTGTCTGCAACCTGCCAGCGTCAAACGCAAAAGACCTGCAAGTCGCGACACCATATCCACAGCAGCGGCAGCTCACGGGGATTCCGTCTACGCCGTAGCACATTAATGAGTCTCAAGTTCCCAACTGACTTGAGTAGCTCGGCGCCGTGCCAGCTGAGATACCTACAGGACTTGACTCTAGTTTGAGGTAGAGCGTCTTCGTTGACCAAACCCGAGAGACTAACGCGGCAGACTAAATACTTGGTAGCTTCACCAGACACCAGCCTACATGTGTCACCGCACCGAACCTTCCATGGTGACGATGCCGATGCTGGTGCTGCATGAGTGCTCAACTACAGAGTACCACCACCATCTTCAGTCTCAATTCTCCCTCTCTCTCTCACTCGCTCCCTAATGGAGCTGGGCTACAGTCTACTACGTACACTACAGACTTCGGATACCTTGGACTGCTGGAGGCGCCGGTCCGTCAGTTCTTGGTCCCAGTTCCAGTCTTGACCACACCCTCGCCGGCCCTGGTCCCTGTCTTGGTTACTTTGTACCCGCAGCGTGCACCACGAATAGCAGCGTGATAATTGCCTTGACCCCCCTTCTTTCGGGCCATTCCTTGCCTCCCTCTCTGTTGCTGTACCTATTCATACACAAAGTTGTATGGAAGAACGGCGGGATACTTTTTCTACACACCCCCTTCTCCAAAAAAGAGTGTTTCCCCTCTAGCCACACCCTCCTGGATCCTGGGTCTGCCTCTCTACCTGACTACGGATACGGATACCTCTATTACCCTTCATAGCGCCAGTCCACGCCAACCAGCGGCACCACTCAAAGTCCAGTCTTCCTCCATCCCTCCCTTCCCCCAGATCATTTTCTTCCTCTTCCCTTTCCGTGACAGCTTCATTTCTGTTCGTTTTGACATTCAATTCCCGTCTCTCGTTCACTCCTCTGTACGCAACAAAAGGCCTATATCTCCTGCCTTCAACAAAAGCTTCCCTTTTCTACATCACCGAGAAAGAGAAGAAGAATCACACGTGGACTCAAGGTACGTAACTGTCGTGGAACGATCCGGAAAACAAGGCCCAACACGAGGAAGGAGGCCACGGGCGAGAAGGAAGAGCGGAGAGCGGCTGCCAATGCTCGGCAGGAAATCGCCATCCATTGCTTGCCGCGTCGTGGAATGCCTTCTCGCCTCCTCTTCACTTCCTCCAGCCCCAAAAACACATTGCCCAATTCCATCTCGTCCCACCAGCCTCTTCTTCTGCCCTACTACACCTCTTCTCCACCGTCGCTTGCCTTGCCCATCGTCGACATCTGGGGGAAAAAAGGAGTCGCTCGCCGGTTCCTTCAGAAACACACAAGAAACACCGGAGCCCCATATCCAACCAATTCTTTCGACCCGCAGACGTCAACTTCCTTCACTCCCTTCCCTCCTCTCCCTCTACAACCAACGTCGAGCTTTTTGGAACACCGCTTCAGGAATACCGACCTGGAGTAGACTCCAATTCATCAACGCTTCCATTATCTTTCCGTTCAAACGACCATCGCGAGCCATCGATTCTTCACAGATAAACTGACCCCGAAATCCACAGCCTCCAAATCAATCACAATGTACTCCAAGCTCATCACCGCCCTCGCGGCCGTCGGTGCTGGTGTTGCCTCTGGTATGTTCCGTTCGAAGCCCTCTTTGGGGATGAACGTTTTCTAACCACAATTCGCTTTGTCCAGCCCAGAGCAGCAACATCTGCTCATCGGCCACCGTTACCGTTACCGATGCCGCCATGGCTACCGCCCTTCCCTGCACCACCTTCACCGGTTCCGTAAAGATCTCCGAGAGCATCACCGGCAACATCGATATCAACGGCCCCAAGACCATCAAGGGCGACCTGATCGTTACCAACGTCACTCAGCTTGTTGGCCTTACCTCCTCCACCCTCGCCTCCGTTGAGGGCACCTTCCAGATGCAGGGCCTGACCCTCCTTTCTGACCTGCGCTTCACCTCGCTCGCCACCGTCGGCTCTATCAACTGGGTCACTCTGCCCGCCCTCGGCTCCCTGGTGTTCGGTACCGCCGGTGTCACCAAGGTTAACGACATTCTCATCAGCGACACCTTCCTGAAGAGCTTGGACGGCCTGAACGTCGCCTCTGTCGACTCCCTTCGCATCAACAACAACAACCAGCTTGTTTCTTACAGCAACCAGCTGGCCAACGCCACCAAGACCATCGAGATCAACTCCAACGGCCCCGACCTGGGTATTACCCTCCCCAACCTTATCTGGGCTGGTGAGATCATCATTGCCGATGCCGCCAAGGTCCAGATGAACTCCCTCGAGGTCGTCAACGGCTCCATCAAGTTCGACAAGAACACCTTCACCGAGTTCATTGCCCCCAACTTGACCCAGACCACCGATGGTGATGTCTCATTCATCAACAACGTCGAGCTCACCAACCTGTCTCTGCCCCTTCTTGCCAAGACTGGTGGCGGCCTGACCATCCAGAACAACACCCTTCTCCAGAAGATTGACGGTCTTCCCAAGCTTAAGCAGATTGGCGGTGCTGTTCTCCTCCGTGGCAACTTCACTGAGTAAGTTTTACGGTTTCTTGTGGTTCTGTGACAAATCTGACAAATAATACAGGGTCGACCTTCCCGCTCTCGAGGACGTCAAGGGTGCCTTCGACACTCAGTCCACTGGCAACATTGACACCTCTTGCGACGTCTTCAACAAGATGAAGGGCCGCCAGATCCAGGGTGACTACAAGTGCCGCAGCAACAACACCAACGCCAACAAGGACGGCGACAGCAACGGCGGCTCCGCCGGTGGCTCCACCAACAACAACAACGGCGCCGCTGGCAACGTTGCTGTCAACACCGCCATCCTTGGCGCTGCTGTTCTCTTCGGTCTCACTCAGCTGTTGTAAACGACTGGCACTGGAAATACGGGCTCGGATAATGGTGGCGTTCTCCATACATCTTTCACTGTTTGTGCAATTTCTTTACAGCAACTCTGTCTCAACAGCTTGCGAAAACCCTCACGCATTCCCTAGACTGGGAACCTCCTGCGTATAGGAGAACCTCTAGACTTAATACTGGACGATGGGTGGAGATGCTACGGACCCTCGTCGACTTTTTACTCTCTTTTGCGTGACGAACCAAAAGCACCTACAGACCAACGCGTCGTGTCGTTTCTACCGCATCATTCGGTTTCGACCTTGCCACGCTACATATCCCGCCTAGACGATTTTGGGAAAAGGGTTCGGTCGAGCGGCATGTCGAGAGCTTGGATGACGGGTGGTTAAACACGGGCGGTGGCAACGGCAGATACCTGGCGGAGGCGTGAGATTGATGGCGGACAACAAGGCGATAGGCAACGAAGATAGAGAGGGCTGTAGTGTGTATTGAGGATCCATGATGTGTATACCTTTTTCTACTTTTAACGTTTCACTGTGTCTGATTGCCCTGAAGTGCAATGTCTGATGTAAAGTTACTATAGGAGTAGACGTAACGCGAAAGCCGTTCACGGAATGACGTTTTCTGGGCTCTTGAAGGCGAACTTCCAATTGTTCGTATCTTCATCAAGTGTTTGCAACTTTATGAGGTAGCCATTTATTGTTTTCCATATTCTACGTCATTGGTAGATACCTTTATCGAACTTCTCAGTATCGAAGAACTTTGGCACTATAACATTGCCGTTGAATACGCGTCCATCCAGCTCATTGACCGCCTATTTTAGTGATCATGTTAGAAAACGCCCTGCTGTGTGTGGAACGTGGCCGGGAGGCGAAAGACTTACACGAAGGGCAGAGACTTGGTCGGTAAACCTGATAAAGACCTGCCTCTTTTCAACGTCGATGTATAATCGCTCGACCCTGCCATACTATAACAGAGGACGTAATTAGCATTTTGAGAAACGGCAAATGGTGTTCTTCATCTTTGGGTACACAAAGCAGGCAGGGTCCCTTTCTGTCGCTCCAGGAGAGCGTGAAGCATGGATCACTTACCTTTTCACCGCATTCCTCGCCAATCTCCTGCCCCAGCCCATTGGCGATCTCGCCCTGCAGGTCCTCCATGTTATCCAGCATGCGCTGCAGAACAATGACCTCGCTCATGGGCCCGCCAAACTTGCCGCCGCCGCCGCCCTCGGTCTCGTCCTTGCGCTTCCCGCCAATGACTTTGGCGCGGTTGCCCGGCTCGGCCCACCCGCCGCCCTCGGCGTCCGACTTCTTCTTGCGCTTCTCGACCTGTACGCGCAGCGGGTTGACGATGCCGGACTCGTCTGCGCCCAGGCCGGAGCCCTTTGTCCAGCCGTACTTGCTCATGAGGCGTTGGGCGAAGCCGGCTTGGCCTGGGCGGGAGGATCGCGGGGCCTGAGCTTCTTCTGATGCGGGCGGTGGCGGTGGTGGTGGTGCCCTGCTGGCGCCGAGGCCGAGGGTTGGCGGTGGGGAGTCTGGGTCTGAGGGCTCTTCTTCGTCTGCGGGCGGTTGCTTGGTGGAGGATGGAGTATAGCGGACGGGTGCACGGGATATCGTTGCTTCGTCGGTCACTGCCGGGGGAGGAGGGGGAGGAGGTGGTGCGGACGCGGAGAGAGCTTGACGGCGGGCATATGCGTCGTCTCCGATTGCTGCTTCCGTGGCTCGTGGTTCGGCTGGGGGTGGTGATGTTGGAGGCGGGGGGACGAAGGAGTATTCGGCTGGAGGGGCGAACTGATCTGAGGAGAGCGTTTAAGTAACGTGCCGTCTCTGCGCAAAGAAGATTAAGGCGGGGGGAAGACTCACTCATCGCCGGCCGGCGCTCCGTCTCTTCGTCGCTGTCATCGCTCAGACTCTTGCGTCTGCGGTGGCGGTAGAGCAGCCTCTTCCACTCCTGCACCTCGTGGATCCGCTCGTCGCTGCGCAGATACTCCTCGACATTGGTGGGCTTCGTTGGGTCGTAGATGTCGTCCCAGTTGGTCTCGGCGGGCTGGTCGTTGTTTCCCTTCTTCTTCTTCTTTCTGCGGCCGCCGCGCTGATGGCCTCCGCCTCCGGCACCGGCGCCTGCGTTGGCGCTGTAGCGCCACTCGTCTTCCTCTGTCACGGCCCAGTCGGCGAGGGTGCTCTTTGGCGGCGGTGGTTGTTGGGCGGCTGCCGTCGAGGATGTTGGCGCGGAAGAAGCTGCTGTGGAGGTGGCCGCGGCTAACGTGTTCGCGCTTGGTATCGTCTTGGGGAAGTTTGGCTTTGGTTTCGCTGTCTTTGCTTGTGGTCTGCGTATGGGCTGGAAGCGGAGGGCTGTTGGAGGGTGGTAAGTTTCTGGTGAACCTGAAAAAGAATATGGTCTAGAGGAGAGCGGCGGTAGTACATGGGTCTATGGGCTTTTTCACAGCTGTCCCATCCTTCGGGTCAGCGACCGTGCCGTCTTGATTGTAGCGGACGGGAGCGCTCGAGATCGTGGCCGAGGGGTCGGCGACTGGGTCAAGGAGGTTTGCGTAGAGCGACAAGCCTCCTCGCGCGGGCGGAGGTGGAGGCGGCGGCGCGGCCATTGAGCTTATTTTCGGCGCGGAGGGGTAATTTTGAAGGATTGATATGGTGGTCAATGGTCGTGTGGAAGGTTATCAGAGGTGTTCTGCGTGATGGGCGAGTACCAGCAGCGAGGGTTGAGTGCGTCGCAAAAGAGACAACGAGATACGTTCAGCCTGGTTCCGCACAGCGAAGTTGAAGCTGCTGGGAAGCTTGCCTGATGGACCCACTCATGTGGAGCGCACCTCGAATGTCAATGTGCAGATTGCACCTTAAAGTGCCAGGTGCCTGACGTAAAGAACGGATACAAATACCTGGGCTTACCTAAGGCGAATCAGCCAAACCCACCGGTTCGCTGCCGTTCGTCCGTCAGTAAAGCGGAGCCTGGCCGCCTGGGTTTCAGCACCTCAACGGCCGCTGGGCCACTGAAAACCTACCCCTGCGCGTTCCGGCACAGCGCCCAGCCCGCCGCGCAAGCGCAGTTCCATGTTTCTTCGGGGGTCTTCGTGGGGGACGAGCCACCGGTTGATCTGGGAAGGGCGGGTATTACAGTGGTTCAGTCAACTTCAGTGGGCAAATGTGGCAGCGGGCTAAGAAAAAGCCGACCGGGGTGATCCGGCTTGTCCCAGGCTGGGCTGGTCCCGAGCACATCATCGTCCTAGTCAGGTTTCCCTATCAGTCGACCATTGTGCCTCAACTTTTGTTTCCAACGTAGACTTGTATTTTACCTCTATCTAAGATTGTTACCGTTGAACGGCTCACTCACACAAGCTCCTTGAATATCCTAATTGCCTACCCCGGACGAATCCTCTGGGTTCTATCCTTGTCTAGACAAGTTCATCTGATCGTCCACCACCTTACCTAACCTTACTCCAAAAGCTTCTCCGAATTCGCTGGTGGTTGCAACTCTTCAACTGCCGTCCGGTCAGGCACAATCACACCCTGTCATCCAATAGAGTGAGAGATAAAATTCATACGTCAAGTACGCAAAGATGGCGTTGACTCTCCAAACCGCCATCAACGGCCCGGCCAACTCCACGGCCGTCATTGTGCCGTCCAAGCCCAATGCTCTCACAGCCACGTACGGCGACCTGGTGAGGGAGACCTCGGCCTTCCAGCAGAAGCTGGCCGCCATTGGCATCACAAAGGCCTCGCCCGTTTCCATCGCGACCGTCAACTCCTATGAGTTCATCGTCTCCTTCCTGGCCGCCTCATGGCAGCGTGGCATCGCTGCGCCCCTGAACCCGGCCTACAAGCAGGACGAGTTTGAGTTCTACATTGAGGACGTCAAGTCCGCCATCGTGTTGGTTCCCAAGGGTGCCTATGCCGCCGGTGCACCTGCCGTCAAGGCCGCCAAGAAGTTCAACGCCGCCATCGCTGAGACGTACTGGGATGAGGCCAGGAAGGAGGTCGCGCTTGATGTAAAGGATCTGGGACAGCTCAAGGGCAAGGGGCCTGAGAAGGTGTTGCAGGCTGAGGCCGACGACGTTGCCTTGGTTCTGCACACCAGCGGCACCACCTCCAGACCCAAAGTTGTAAGTCGTAGTCGGTCTACTTAGAGTTGAGGAACATGGGAAAGCTAACATCATGTATAGGTCCCTCTTACACACCGCAACCTGACCAGAACAATGAGTAAGTCCAAGTCTCGCAGGAGAGAGGAGCTGAGATGCAAGGCTAACACCAGTGATAGAGAACATCCAGAACACATACCAGCTTACAAGCGAGGACCGCACTATGCTGGTCATGCCCCTGTTCCATGTCCATGGCCTTCTCTGCGGCCTTCTCGCACCCCTAGCCTGCGGCGGCTCCATGGTCGTCCCGAACAAATTCTCGGCCACCGAGTTCTGGGGAGACTTCATCACCCACAAGGCCAACTGGTACACCGCCGTGCCCACGATCCACCAGATCCTCCTCAAGAACCCGACGCCCAGCCCGCTGCCCGCCATTCGCTTCATCCGCTCCTGCTCCTCCCCTCTGTCGCCCACCGTCTTCCACCAGCTCGAGGAGACGTACAAGGCGCCCGTCCTCGAGGCCTACGCCATGACCGAGGCTGCCCATCAGATGACCTCCAACCCCCTCCCGCCCGCGAAGCGCAAGCCCGGCACTGTCGGCCTCGGCCAGGGCGTCGACGTGCGCATCCTCAACGACGCTGGTGACGAGCTCGCTCAGGGCCAGGAGGGCGAGATTTGCATTCGTGGTGAGAACGTCACAAAGGGGTACCTCAACAACGACGCCGCCAACGCCTCGTCGTACACCAAGGGCGGCTTCTTCCGCACGGGCGACCAAGGCAAGAAGGACGAGGACGGCTACATTGTCATCACGGGCCGCATCAAGGAGCTCATCAACAAGGGCGGCGAGAAGATTAGCCCCATTGAGCTTGACAACGTCTTGACCCGCCACCCTGCCGTCTCCGAGGCCGTCAGCTTCGCCATCCCCGACGACATGTACGGTCAGGATATCGGTGTTGCCGTTGTTCTCAAGCCGGGACAGCAGCTCAAGGGCGAGGATTTGAAGGGCTGGGTGCAGGAGAAGCTGGCCAAGTTCAAGGTTCCCAAGAAGGTTAGTTGATAAACTCTTATGAGATTGTCTGGAAATTCAGACTAACAAGATCTCAGATTTATTTCACCGAGACGATGCCCAAGACAGCAACGGGCAAGATCCAGCGCCGCATCGTCGCCGAGAAGATGCAGCAACAAGAGGCCCCCAAGGCCAAGTTGTAGACCAGCCGATTAGTAGACCATAAAGATTCGGCCATGCTCATGGTGGACCTAGATGATTGTAAGACAGTAGAAAGGGGTATTCTCGTAGATTTCACATACATCTGGCGTGAAAGACACTGTAGAGAGAGAGAAGAGAGATCTTGTGTGTTATTTTAGATACCTAAAAAGAAAGATAGAATAGAGGGATTTCCAATATCTATAATAACGCCCCGCCGCATATACATGTAACGTAATAACCATAATAACTGACCGATTCTTCGTGAATCTCATCAGATAGAGCCGCACACTCATGGGGCCTTCGTCTCGCCAGCCATGAACTTCAACCCTTCCTAGGCGTAAAACCCAAGGAGCCCTCCTATCCCAAACAACTCGAGCGTGAAAAGAGAAAACGGAAAGAAACATCTTTCTTCAGTCGTAGTGACCGCCCTCATCCAACTCATCATCAAGATCAGGATCCTCCCCCTCATCAGAGTCGTAGAGCTTCTTCTGCTGCTGATCGCCTCCCTGCTTCTGCTGCGGCGACGCAGACGCGCTCTTCGGCACAATGCTCTTCGGCGTCACGGCATGAAGCTCGACCCAGCACGAGTTCCCCTCAGGCCCATTCCACCGCGCGGGATTCACGTCCTTCCCGGCGTTGTCCGCTGCGGGCTCCGGCATCCCGTCGCCCCCGTGGACCGCGTACTCCCTCGATATCCTCCTCACCTCGGCATTCGCGTCCGCCAGCGCGGCGAAAGCGCCCATGACGGTCGTGGCGGCTGCGATGTCGCCGTCGGCGCCGCCGTCGCTGTAGAGGACGAGGGCGATTGTGTGGGGGAATTCGCGGCGAGATGGGGGCAAGGAAGCGACTGAGGAGGATGCCGTGGGAGGAGGAAGGCGTTTTGCGGGTGGTGGTGTGGTTTGGACTGCGCTTGTTGCCGAGGCGTTGCGCTTGTGCGCCGAGGTGTCTTCTGCGGATGACATCCTGACTGTCATTTGCCTTTTGGGTGGTTGTGTGAGGTTGTGTTGATGTGTGGTGAGATGGAAGGTTAGATGTGTAGCTTTATCGATGAGAGTTTGGGGGTTGCTGGTATAGGTAGTGTGATGTGTAAGGTGAGGTATGTATGTAGTTGTGAGACCTCTATCGGTGAGATGTCAATGGCTTGCAGATGTGTGATGCAAGGGATGGGAATGTCAAGCTTATTTGGTCGTAAGTTGTGTAAAGTTAAGTAGTAACAGGTCATAGGAAGCACATTCAGGTTCTTTCAGTACCCTCCCAATCCTCTTTTATATCAAAGACGGAAATCCCATCTCACGCGATATGTGGATGAGTGATTATATGACTGATCCCAAGTGTCACTAACAGAGATACGGGAACTCGGTGGAGACCGCCCGCCCGCTTCACCCACCTCCAGCTCCAACTCCGCCCCGTCTCGCCGTTTCGCTCTTCACCTCGGAGCTGTGCAAGCCCGTACTGCCCATTGAGTCAAGGTAAGGTACGAAATAAGGTACCCATCTGTCGCTGCGCCGGTATGTAGAGCTCAGCAATTATGCTCGGCACTGGCCTGATATGGATCGATTCAATTGCCTCGGTGGAGCGGGAAGTGCATCACAAGATGGCAGCGGGGTGGTCGGGATGGGATCTTGGAAGGAAAAAAATGAAAGTCTCGGCTGGTCCGATGACCGGCGCAGGTCCCCATTGAGGTGCTCGCGCCGCCCGGGGGGCAGAGAGGCTGAGAAGCTGCCCTGTGATGACACAGCACCTTACCTAGCTTTCTTGACCCAGACCGACAAACCGGGACCTTGGACCCCCCCCCCCCCAGCTTCGGGGTTGAGCTCGAATGCGCGAATGGCGCGAACCCGGCGTGAACCGACTGTAGCCAGCTGTCTGCCCCGCTGCGGGCGGGATTTCTCCCCCAGCGCTGTTGAGAAGGAGGGGCCCTTGGCTTCTGGAGCATTTTAAATTCCTTCTCAATTGCATTCGGGAGGAGGAAGAGGAGCTCGGGAGCTGGGCCGAGGGGAGGACGGGAATTTCGCCATTTTCGGGGGTAGGTGATAAAGATCCCTTGGGGTGGGAAAGCTGGAGCCGATGCCCCGATGGCACTGGGGGTTTGGTGGAATTGGGTGACTCAACAACACGGTCGAGGTTTCACCACCTATTCACCTACTCACTCCGTACCTGTCCCAGATATTTGATTGGGGGCCGTGTCAGTCAGGTACTTGCCTTTCAAATCGCGTCCGACCTAGATATTTTCGACCAGCGGCTGCGAGGTTAGGCTACCTCCCGAACACCAACTCGTGTTCCCTCTTGTGACATCGCCATTGTC